ATGATCATACAAGAACCAATTAAAATTAGGTGTGTAAGACAGATGCATTAGGAAATGGTAAGACTGTTTTAGTGCTCAGAAAACAGTTGCAGCAACAAAAAATGTCACAAGTGGCAAAAGCAGTAGGAATTGGTCACCTGCATTGAAAGCAGTATAAGTAGATGAATTGGTAAAAAAGCAACGATTTTACAGCTTGAATCAAATTTTATGTTAACATGTGCAAGCACACTCTCATTCAAATGGATTAGCCAAAACTTTTTGACCATAACATGGGGTAAGAATGACAAGTTTCATAACAGATTTACCTTTCAGAGATATACAGGGTGAGGCAGAAATACCACCCACATAATATCCATGTTCAAAAAACAATATCATACAAGGCACAAATAGATACATCTAGACACACACATATGCACATTTATATATATATATATATATATATATATATATATATATATATATATATATATATAAACAGTTTTGGTTAAATAATTTTAGACATATCATTTTGGTTTATTTTAGTTGTGATACTTTCAAGTTCATGGATTAATTTCTTGGTAGCCTTAGAAAATTGATTAAGAAAAATACCAAAATTTTCTATCAAATAATTTTTATTTTTCCAAGTACTTTCAATCTCATTTGAGACCACCTGAGGGTGGTTAAATTGTCTAAATTTGTGTATATGTATTTCTGAAAAATTTAAAACATTTCAACTGTTTGTTTTACTGCAATACACAGCATTGTAGATTTCAAATTCAAAATACATATGTTTTTGTCATTTTTTTCACATTATAAGGAAGATAACTTTTTGATTTTATTTATTTTTCTTATAAACACACACACACACATATATATATATATATATATATATATATATATATAACTCCTACACTTTTGAAAATCCCAAAACAACATTCATAATAAATAAAAATTTAAACTCCAACTCCAAAAATGTGATTTATACACAAAATGTAACAAGTCATATATTGGTATCAGCCAACAACTAAGCAGCAGGCTCTCCCTCCACAAAAGCACCATAAAATTACCAGACAACAGAAAACTCTTTGTATCACGACACATCTATAAATGTAACCAGGGTGAATTTAAAATTATGCCAATATATCAAACAGACAATTGTTCTTACCAACAAATACAAGAAAAAAAACTTCATAAACAAATTTAAACCAGCACTAAATAGATCATAATCCCACATGCAAAAACACACAACATGCACACATAATGGCCAAATACAGTGGTTGAACCACTTGCATGCATGTGCACACAATCACACATGGGTATCTGTGGAGTACAAATATGTATACGCATATTGGCAAAAACAACAGGCATGCATGCAAACCCTACACAACATAGGAAGTGAGTGTATGTGTGTATACTAATTCCTTATAATAAAACAGTATATATTTATGGAGAAGGGATGCAAATATACATATGCATACTAGTGTATATATGCACATATTGGCAAAAACAAGACTGCTCACGGGCACACACGCAAACCCTACACAACATAGGAAGTGTGTGTGTGTGTGTGTATATATATATGGAGCGGGGATGTATGTATACATACACATGCTGACAGGAACACACACCCAATGCAAAAAAATAGAAATAGATCTAACACAGAGGGTCATTAAAAGATAAGAATACAGATATCTTTCCTCATCCTTTCTCGGACCAATCTTAATTGTTTTATTACCCTTCATGCAGGAGCACTTTCTCATTGCCAGTTCAAGGAAGGCTTTTGTGTCATTAACACAAAAAAAGAGAATGTTTAACATTGAGAAACATAAGAAAAATTAATTCTTTTTAATATGTGGAAATATCCATTCTTTGCCTGATGAAAGTCATGAGACCAGAAACTTGTAGTAAAATTATGAAAAATAAAGCATAATATTTTTTTTTAAAAATCCACATTACAACCAAAAAATGTTTGTGGGTTCTTTCTCCTTTTTAATTTACACACACACACACACACACACACACACACACACACACATATATATATATATATATATATATATATATATATATATATATATATATATATATATCAACATCATCACTTGATAAGACACGGGAGTGTTGAAACAAAATGGCTATTTTTGTAGTGATTTTATAACATGTTTATGTTATAAATTTTCTAAATAAATAATTATATATATATATATATATATATATATATATATATATAAAATAAAGGGTGTTCCAATAACTTGGACCAATTTTAAATGTGAATTAAGTTTAAGCATCTCATGATTTTTTCTTTTAGATTTGGTGGACATTTGGGCGATATTATTTTTCATGCATAATTGCTATGACTGAAATAACATGATCCAATAGAGAAATAAATAAATTTTTACCAATAACACTAATTTATTTACTGCTAACTTTGATCTGTCTTAATGAAACACCCTTTTTATATATATATAATGTTGACCTTTTGTAAGATGCTAGTTGATAGAGAAGAATTGTTTCTGACAACTTGTTAGGTTGTATTAAATATTGTATAGTATGTAATTAATTTTATTTTTTTTACTTGTATCAGTGGGGGTTATATTAATGTTTATGTGTCTTTTTAGATTTTTATAGATTATAGTTAGAATGCATTTGATTATGGTATACAGTGTAACCCAGATATAAGAGACCCTGATATAAGAGAGATTTTCTCTGGTCCCAAATTAGAGCCTATACTTACCTAAACAAAATAGACCAAACCCGGATATAAGAGACTTCTTCTCTGGTCCCGACAACTCTCTTATATCCAGGTTACACTGTAATAATTTGATATGTTTAGAGTTATTTGATGATGTATTCATTTTTATTTATGTTTATATTCCTAATATAATTCTGTCTAATTTGTTCATCAACAATGCAATTAGGAAAGTCATTATTAATGTGGGTTTATTTAATATTTTTTAATTTGGTGCAAAAAATCTTTATTGTTCAAGAATTTGATTTTGCACGGTTTATTAAGTTTCATATAATAGCTATTTTGTAATAGGACATTCACTTTTATACTTGAGAGTGCATGTGTTTATACTAGTTTTGTTTTTTTTTTTCTAAGGAGAGGTAGTAAATGTACTATTATTACTGTCTATCAATACATCAAGAAACTGGATTTCTTTTTTGTCCTTGTTAAGGTCTGATGTGAACTTAAGAACAGAGTTTTTTTTGTTTTTTTTTTTGTTTCTTTTAAAGTTTTCTTGTAGTTCATGTATTTTATCTGTGTCTTTGACTAAAATGAGAATGTCATCTAAATATCTTAAATAAATTCAGGGTTATTTGTGGTATTAAGTATGCTATTTTCTAAATTAATCATGTAGAAATTGCTAAATATTCATCCAAGAACAGAACCCATAGAGACACCATCACATTGTCAGTCAGTTACATGCCTTTCAATACATGACTGATGAGGCAGATTTTTTTTCCCGCAGTAGGTTGCCATTTCTTTCTGCATTAGGCCAGTTGCCATTCAAGGCTATAGAACCAAATCTGTTCAGCTGTTTACCCATAGCTAGGGGAAGAAGAAGAGGATTCATACCTTTCCCAAGGGTATTAGCACGTAAGTGAATGTAATGGATTCGATTGAAATTCAAACTAGGCTCTCTGATTCCTCAATCCGAACCACTATCCATTACTTCACTGTGCCTCCTACTTCACATTGTACATATGTTATTTTGGGGGTCATCAAAAGGAACAACTGTGGTGCACATCAAGTGTAATTTTTTTTTGTTTTTTTTTTTGTTTTTTTGTTTGTTTTTTTTTAATATTAGTACAAATTTTTAATGGAGGGATAGATAGATTGTTGTAGATATTTTTTTTATGATTATATTTATTGTTTCCCTGACTGGGACGCATTGGTGAATATAATTTAAAAGTTGAGTGAGGCTAAAGTTTCATCATTGTTTTTATTTTTGCTTTTAGAATTTGGAGTAGTTTGTGTGTTGACTTTATGCTGTATTTATTTGGAATGTAATGTGTAATTAGTTTGGTTAGTTAGTTGGTAAACACGAGTGGGCGTTTGGGATATGAGAGGTCGGAGAAGGAAGTTAGGTTTATGTATTTTTACAGTTCCATACATATATCTTGGTTTGTAGTCGCCAATTATTTTTGGAAGTTTTAAGCTATCCAGTCCTGTGTTATTGGCTATGATAAGTTTGTTGATCTTTGATTTTAGTTGGTTTATCTTATTTTTGATGACTTTTTAAAATTTGGTATGGTCATTAAGTATTTTTTGCATCTTTGAATAATAGTCCGATTTATTTAATATGATGAAGATATTGCTTTTATCAGCTTTTTTAACAATTATAAGGTTGTGGTTACAGAGTTCTTTTGCGGCAGTTCTTTATTGTTTTGATTGAAATGTAGAAGTGTTTTTTCCTCTTTCAGGCTTTTCTTTCACCACCTCAGCCTTGAGTAGGTCCCGGTTTCTGGTTCATATATATATATATATATACACACACACACACACACACACACACACTCTCTCTCTCTCTCAGATCCTGGCTCAAAATAATTGCATATCTAGCCACATTGATGAGCTGTGATACAGCGAAACAATCTGTCTATGTATAGATGATTATATATATTCACATTAATTATAACTTATTAATGTATGTGTATACACACACACACACACACATTCTCTTTCATTAATTATATGAAAAATAGCCATAGACACTAGTATAAATGCTGCCTCCCTGTAGACATGTTCCTGAATACAAATTTTGATATTAAATTATCCAATAACTGTTGATATAGCATATCCCAACTAAACCCACCGAAAAGTGTGCATCTGTCATGTATTTTCAGAATGTAGGTAATCATGGCTCTCCACAGCTTCCTGTCTTTTGTTGCTTTCAGCAATATTTGCTTCTTTACAACTGTCTAAGCATATATAATTTAAATTTCAGTTTTATTTTTTGTTTTTTAAGTATTGCTTGAAAATAAAGATGATTTTTTTTCTTCTCTGCCTTCAACAGATGTGTCATCATCCTGAATGTGTAGAAAGTTCAGCAAATAATAAATGTTTATTACTTTGTCAAGAATGTGATACCAACATTCACCGTCAACCTGGGTTTAGTGGCCACTTGGTATTGGATCTGCCACTCTCTCTTCAAAGTGGTAAGTTTGAACATTTTTCTGCTATCTCTTGTAGACATAACGAAAACAAAAAGTAATAAACTTTCAAAACAATTCTGTCTGAATTTCTGGGGTGAGGAGTTATAATTATTTACGCTATTTATATTGTCTTCATCTTTGTTGTTGCTATCACAGTGTTTTAGCCATCATCCCCTCTGACCTTTCTGAAGTATATATTGATCTGGGTAAACGATAGGGAATTCTGAACTGAAACCTTCATTTAATCTACAGAGGTAGGCTGTTCCTTGTTCGGAAAATAATGTCCGATTTTAGAATAAACGATTTAATTATATTATTATAAAAGTTGCATAAAAATATATTACTCATTCCTAATGACTAAAGTATCCTCTTTGTTAATTTCATATCAATCTCTTTCAGAATTTAATTTAAAACATTATATACCCCTCATCTTGAACATGAAAATAAATGAAAAAAAAAATGCAGTTACTTTTTAAGCATATGTCCAAGCTTGGTCATAATCATTCTCAAAATTCTGCCAACATTAACAGAGCATGGGCTAAAGGATCCACTTGTGTTTGGACAGTACAGTGCTGGTTTCTGAAGTTCCACAGTGTGGATACAAGTCTTGAAGATCAAGGTGGTAGAGGGCATCCATCTGCAATTAACACATAAAAACACTAGTTGGACTAAAGCTACATCAAAGTTTCTGATAAATCGGTTCCACATGAACTCAGTGATAGTTGAAGGGTTCAATGTTTTGAAGTTTGTTCGATGCTACATCTATGAAATTTGAATGATCCATTTATTGATTAAATAGTGACTTGTGATGAAAGATGGGTCATTTACGACAATCATAATCAGCTCACTAGCCAAAGGACCCAAACACTTTCCAAAACTGAAACTGCACCAACAGAAGATTATGGTAGCCCATTATTGGTATTATCTATTACAGATTTCTGGAATCTAACCAGAGCATCAATGCCAAAATTTACCGCCAGCAACTGGATGAAATACACATTCAGTTAAGCAAAATGTGACCAGCAGTTATTAATCAATGAGGTCCAATTCTGCTTCATGACAATGCTTGGTCACATGTTGTCAGGATGACACTGCAGAAGTTCAACAACTTGGGATACAAGACATTGTCAAATCCACCATATTCCCTTGTTCTTTCACCCACTATCACTTTTCAAGCATCTTGACAATTTTTTAAGCCAAAAAGACATTCTGTTGCAAAGAAACTGCATTCTAAAATTTGTTGGATTGCAAACTTTTATAGATTTAACGTAAATGCATAAATAAAATTGTTACTTAATGGCAGAAACGTGTAGATTTTCAAGGTTCCTATTTTGACTGATTTTACACAGTTTAAATAGATTAATTCCAGAAAATCTTTACTAAAAGCTCACAAAGACACCATGTTTAACTTTTATACAAATAGGGCATGCAACTTTGAGAGAAATCTCAGGAACGAATTTACAATCTCTGTATACTCTCCCCAGAATACAGCATTTGACCATTTGAATGAAATTTGACCAAGGATGAAAAATCTCACTTTTCTTCCTTTCCTGTGAGTGTCAAATTTTTCAAGCCTTCTTTCCTCATTATATGCCCAAGAAATTTCAACTATCTCTTTCTGAGAATAAGTATCCTTTTTGTTTCCATATTCCTTAATACTTCCTTGTTGCTTATATGGTATCCTCAGCATCCTTCTGTAGAACCTCATCTTTGTTACCTCCTGTCTTCTCTGTCTTCATTTGAGGAGATTGTCCAGCATTCACTGCAATCCAAAAGAATAGATACTATACAACAGTCCAGCACTCTTTTCTTTGTTTCTAACAGAATTTCTTAATATTTTGCTTAGCTTTTGGAAGGCATCTTATTCATCTAGCCTTCACTGACATATAATAGAAGTTATATTAAATAGCAGTCCATCACTCTCTTCTTTGTTTTTAATGAAATTTTCCTGTTTAGCTTTTAGAATGAATTTTCTTTGCTTAGCTTTTAGAATGAATCTTTTGATATTCCAATGTGAATTTGGATATCAGTGTCATACTTTCCATCCTCTGTTAAAACATTTTGCAGATATTTAAACTTTGGTACTTGTTTGATGTTGCCATTTCCAGTTTGTAGTTTGTGCATTGAACTTTTTCTCTTGCCACCAACCATACATTCTGTGTTTTTAGAATTGATGATTTGTCCTTTTTAGGAACTTGGAGATTCAGCAATTTACAATGATATATCAATGTAGCCATCATAAACAGAAGTAACACTGAAAGGAAAAAGATTGTTTGAATGCAGCACAAAAACATACACTAATATTTTGTGACTTTTTTTTTTTTTTTTTTTGAGAAAGTTGGCTGGGTTGGGGGTCCCAATAAGCTGTCGTCTTCTTTCATACCTCATGTCCTGAAGGAACAAGGGCAATCATGATTCTATCCAAGTTCTTGTTCCTTGTAGCACTAAACAACTTTTGACTCTTTACTATACATCCTTGTCCCCACTCTGCCATCCACTTACACAAAATAGGTTACCACCTGCTTCCCATGCCTTCAGTATGTCCTATGAGTATTAAATTCTCCAAGTCCATTTTCCTTGTTATGTTTCAAAGAAATTTAAATTGTTTCCTTTTGATTTTAAGTGTCCTTATAACTCCTATTTTCTTTAAAAAAAATAATTAATTTTTGGTTTTAGTTGTTTGGATTACTGAAAAGTGTTATATAGGAATAAAGTGTCACTGCTGACACTGGAACTTGAACACAGATCACCAGAAAGCAAACACAGGTGATCCCATTTTGAATAAGTAGATCACATGATGGTAAAAGAAATATCTATATGAGAATTAGCGTGGCATCTAAGTGATCACTATATGGATTACTATTCGGTGGTTACTTTTCAAGCATGTATTATCGGGCAAGTACTATTAGTGTAAGTGATATTCGAAGGTGTCTGACACCAGTATTGTTCGATGGTGTTACTATAGGTGTATCTGCGATTACAAAGTCTCTACTACAATGAGCATTACGAAAGTGACAAATGAGTATTCGTTAACATTACAAAAGTGGCAACAAGTGTTCATTAACATCACAAAAAAAAGCAAAATAATTTTTTAAAAAATGTGTCATAAATGTATTGTCAGTATTCAAAATGAATGCATGATTTGAATGAAAACATCTGCATGTTTTTGTCAATTTTATCAGGGGTATAAAAAGTGGTTATGAGATGCTCAAATGACAAAAATATCAGTGATGTATTGTTTAATTAGTAAGCAGGTAGCAAAGCAGTGACAAGTGACATGAAAAGTAGAATTGGTGAACAGAGATTAAATTTTCTCTTAGTCTGTTGCATTCACTTTCGCACAAATAACCTTGAGGAAGGTATGAATTCATTGCTTCTTCCCCTAACCTATAGCAGGACAGACCTAGGTTCTGTAGCTTTGGTCTGGCAACCAGTATAGGAGGAGGAGGACTAGGAGGAGGAGTACCCTAAATTCAAAAATGTAATAATGGCAATAGGAAACCATTCTACTAGCTTCTCCAAAAAGTCATGATAATTTGCAGATATAAAAGAAAGTAAACTGTAGAAATCGATGATCACCTACTTCCTGAAGAGATATATGTTTTTTTTCTTTTTTTCTTTTTTTCTTTTTTTTAATTTTAAATTATCATTAGTATAATAATTGATATTTTTTTCTTTTCATCAAAGAGTTTTTGAAGACTCCGTCAGAAAGAGATGATGCCAGTGATATAGAAGTGCCTCCACCTGATTATGAGGGTGCTGAGGTCGTGGAAGAAGAGCAAGTGGAAGAAAAACATGTGGAAGAAGAGCATGTGATGAGGCTTGGGTTTACTAAGAACAATAGCAGTACAAGGTAAGTAATGCAAATTAATTTTCTTAATAGCATTCGCAGGTATTTGTTTTTTGGGTTTTTTCTTTCTCCTTTTTGCTTTTCTTTTCTCTCTTTCTCTCCCCTCTCTCTCTCTTTCTCTCCCCTCTCTCTCTCTTTCTCTCCCCTCTCTCTCTCTTTCTCTCCCCTCTCTTCCTCTCTCTTTCCCCCTTCCTCTCTCTTTCCCTCTTCCTCTCTCTTTCCCCTCTCTTCCTCTCTCTTTCCCCTCTCTTCCTCTCTCTTTCCCTTCTCTTCCTCTCTCTTTCCCCTCTCTTCCTCTCTCTTTCCCCTCTCTTCCTCTCCCCTCTCTTCCTCTCTCCCTTCCTCTCCCCTCTCTTCCTCTCTCCCTTCCTCTCCCCTCTCTTCCTCTCTCCTCCTCTCTCTTCCTCTCTCTCCCCCTTCTCCTTTTTCTCTCAAAAAAAGTCAGGAAATTTTTACTTAGATTATATAATGGAAATATTTTTTTTTTTTTTTTTTTTTTTTTTTTTTGGTAATAAACTCATTTATAAGCAACTGTACCTCAACTCTGAATAAATCTTAATCATCTCCACTACTGATGTCAGTATGACTTAACCAAAAAGAAGAAAGATTTACTAAATACATTATACTATATTCAAGAATTCTACCAATTCTATGAGTTTTGTTACATTGGAATGTATTTCTTTTCAGTTTATTAGACCAAGTATAAAAGGATAACTTAAGCAGCTTGTTTACTGGTCAAAGTCCTAAGTTGCTTATTTTAAAAAAAATGTGTATATAAATAATGTAGACATAGAAATCAACAGTGCATGGTGACTGTCAGTTTCATACCTCAAGCAATCTTCACGCATGGTCTACAAATGCTCTGTCTAATATTGAACATTCTTCCCTCACAAATATAGAAAATATTAAGTACTATAATTATATACATGCATACATATATATTTTATTACTTAAATGTTATTTTAGTTTTTTGAGGCTTCTAAAAGAAGTAATGCATATAATGTTTACATACACACATTATATATGTTCTAAAAGTTGTCGTAACCAAGGGTGATGGTAGTGAAAACTCCCAATGTCTAGATAATGCTTCTGTGATTGCCTCTCAAATATTCGCTGACAACTCCAAGCCAGAGAATGGGCAAAGGTGTTGAACTGGCACCTCATAACCAGCTGCTTTGTGTCGATGGAGCATGACAGCCCAGCAAGGCAGTCCAACTAGGAGAAGGAAAACCAACACATTCATATCCAAACACAGAAAAATCTATGACAGTAAATCCAGACAGAAAATCTAAAGTGGAGCCCCAAAGGCAGTTTGGCTGTCAATACTGACAACTTTCCAACAACTGTTGCTGCCAAGCTGTCTCCAAGAGAGAAACATGTAATCTGGGCAGTGCATGGCCTCCATATACTCTCACCCAGACCTGCACCCTGAAGTGGTTACTCTTTCAACAACAAAAGACTGAATTTTGCTTAAACAGGGCACTACCTTTTATCTTGCAAGATAAACAGATGCTGAAGATTTTTAGTGGATACCCATATTTGAGTAGACGCTCTGTTTATTTATTGAACAGTATATTATTTTCTTAGTTGTTAACTATGTTTTGTCTTTGGTTTGATAGTGAAGTGGTTTCCCATTGCCTTCTCCATAGTGGTTTATGGAGAAACCACCTCTAGTTAGCTATTTTCATCTACCAACTTGAATATTCAAGAAATCTCATTAACGAAAATGTTTTCTGCAGGATTCAAACATGCATACCCATTAGTAGGAGAAACTGTTGTTAGACACACCATGCTTTTAGACCATCTCAGCCACAGAGGGCATTGACAATCAAGCAAAATTAAATTCTGCCTTTATAAATGCAAACTCTCTCCATCACTTCTTTAGAAATTGCTTTGTTTACATTAAGATATACGAAAATGAGCAGATACAAATGTTTCAAGAGTCTGAGATAGATTTGCATTCATGAGGCAAGATTTAACTTTATCATCAACACACTTCATGGCTGAGCCGGTTTAAAGCACATCAGATCTAATGACAGTTTCTCTTGCCAAGTGGGATGCAAGTTCGAATCATGCTGGAGAGTGCATATTCTTCTTTCATAAGATTTCTTGAACATTCAAGCTGGATGGCAAAAATAAATATACTGTTTAATAAATAAACATAGTGCCTACTCAAATACAGGCATTTTCTAAAAATAACATTTAAGTAATAAAATCTGTCAGATTAATAAATAAAAATCTATCACACACACACACAAACACACATATATATATATATATATATATATATATAAAGAAATATAGTCTTAAGGTGTGCTATATTTATGGGATAAAGTGCTCAATATCAGAGATAGAGCGTGTGTAAATATAAAAGTGAACATAGAAGTCAACACTTAGAGGCAACAGTCTGTCACCTCTAAGTGTTGACTTCTGTGTTCACTTATATATATACTGCATTAATATTTTTATGAATAAAATATTGGTAAAAGCAACAGTATTTTTTCTTAATCTGTTACTGGTTGTAAGCATTTTATTAATGAAAAATAAAACTATTTGTCTACAGGTCTTTCCAATCTTATGCAAATGCACAACAACACAGATGTAAATTTAATTCTTATGGCGCTTATCTTTGTGATATATGCATCATAATTATTTGTGTAAAATATACACTTTTTCCCCACAGATTCTTAAACATAACAGGAGTACACCTTTTACACAGGAACTAAATACTAACATTTTTTTTCCATCTATGTGCACTGCTATATTCCAGACAGTATGACTAAAAGTAAGTTATATCTATTGTCCAATGTAAGTAATATGTAACAAAGAGTTTAAATCACTAATTAAACACTGGATTTTTTTTTAATTAGTCACATAGAGAGTAAGGCTCAATTTACATGCTACAAACTTTAAGAAATTACTGTGTATTATATACAAAAAAAAATTTTCTTTCCAGAATTTCATAGCTGATATTACTGATAATAATACTGGTGTCTCATTTATTTAGATAGTAAGGTTCATTTTAGTCTGTTACACAGCTTGTTGTGTCTGAGGTTGATATCATGACAGTTTCATTTATGTTGCTAGCATAGGCAGATTTTTTTGTCAGCCCCAGTATCTTTTTCTTTTACAATGATGTTCACTCTCTACATGGCCCGAGGGCCACTCAAGGTAGAGGGTTACAGAGTAAGAGGCACAGTTTATGCAAATATATGAGGAAGATAACAGTTAACCCGAGACTTAAACAGGTGAAGACTGTAGTGATTGGAGAAACAACTTCTTGGGAGTCAGTTACACAAGGTAATGTCTCATGAGAAGCTGCTGCTCTAGTGGAACTTACATCTCACCAAAGGAATATGAAGGGAATGAGGGTGGTTCACTGCAGTGTCTTTATTCTTCAAAAAGTATATCATTTTCATTATTTTCTAGTGTGTTATACAGCATTTTTTGAATGGCTTTGCTACAATGATTTTAGGTATGCTCGGCCAGTCTTCCAATATATAATAAAAAAAAATAATAGCTGGCCATTTTTATTCAAGGATACCTGTCTACTAGAGTAGCTAGCCAATCCCTAATTCAGATGCTCGCTCAGGCACATTTGTGTTTTTTCAACACCCACAGAGCCCACCTGTGTTTTATACTGCAACTATGCTGAGTAGACCTTAGTTACAGTTTCTGGGAGAGAGCGTGTTATCTAGATGAACAATGCCAGCACACTCAAACCCTCAGCCATGATGATATGTGACTTTCTTCTAACACAGCTATTAATGGTCCCTCAAGTGTTCCATCTACCCAATTTCACTCACAAGGCTTGGGTCAATCTGCGTTATGGTTTTCAGGTACTTCCCAAAGGTGCCACTCCAGAACAATAATATCAGGAAATCCCCTTCCTGACATCAACTGTAGTGAGATTCAAATCTGGGTCTCATGGTCAGAAAACAAACATTCCCATATATGTTATGGTTAAGTTATGTCCAATATATATGTTTATATCTACATATATATAGGTAAGAGAAATCACTTGTTTAGGTACAATTTACCTGCTACAAATTTTAAGAAGTCGCTGTGTATTATACACAAAAAAACATTTTCTTTCCAGAATTTCATATTCGATATTAATGATAATAATGGTGTTTAATTTATTTTGCTATCAAATCTGACAGCAAACTACAAACTCTAACAGAAATGTCTAATTTCTATTTTTATTAATGTTTTGGTGTTTTTACTATACACTGACAACTTATGGTATTATATGTAAGAAAAATGCATTGAAAAATCACCAGCAAAAACAATTATCTAAAAGGAATTTTAAATTCTTAAAGAAATGCCAGAAAACTATAACAGTTGATAAAAATATTTGACTTAATTAGGAGAGTCAGTAATTTGTTGTTTCAGCTTTGAGAAGATGTGTTGACAAACAAAAAGTTTTGAGTGAAATAGACAAACAAAAGAATGAATAAAATAAGATAGAAATTTTTATTCTATTGGGAAATTTTTGCATAGAGAATGTTCAAAGATAGTTCCTGAAAAGAAAGTGTAAGTTTAAGGAATACAGTGTAACCCGGATATAAGAGAAACCCGGATATAAGAGAGATTTTCTCTGGTCCCAAATTAGAGCCTGTGTTAATGTATATAAAATAGACCAAACCCGGATATAAGAGAAACCCGGATATAAGAGAGATTTTCTCTGGTCCCAAATTAGAGCCTGTGTTAATGTATATAAAATAGACCAAACCCGGATATAAGGGAAACCCGGATATAAGAGAGATTTTCTCTGGTCCCAAATTAGAGCCTGTGTTAATGTATATAAAATAGACCAAACCCGGATATAAGAGAAACCCGGATATAAGAGATTTTTCTGGTCCCAAATTAGAGCCTGTGTTAATGTATATAAAATAGACCAAACCCGGATATAAGGGAAACCCGGATATAAAGAGATTTTCTCTGGTCCCAAATTAGAGCCTGTGTTAATGTATATAAAATAGACCAAACCCGGATATAAGAGAAACCCGGATATAAGAGAGATTTTCTCTGGTCCCAAATTAGAGCCTGTGTTAATGTATATAAAATAGACCAAACCCGGATATAAGAGAAACCCGGATATAAGAGATTTTCTCTGGTCCCAAATTAGAGCCTGTGTTAATGTATATAAAATAGACCAAACCCGGATATAAGAGAAACCCGGATATAAGAGAGATTTTCTCTGGTCCCAAATTAGAGCCTGTGTTAATGTATATAAAATAGACCAAACCCGGATATAAGGGAAACCCGGATATAAGAGAGATTTTCTCTGGTCCCAAATTAGAGCCTGTGTTAATGTATATAAAATAGACCAAACCCGGATATAAGGGAAACCCGGATATAAGAGAGATTTTCTCTGGTCCCAAATTAGAGCCTGTGTTAATGTATATAAAATAGACCAAACCCGGATATAAGAGAAACCCGGATATAAGAGAGATTTTTTCTGGTCCCAAATTAGAGCCTGTGTTAATGTATATAAAATAGACCAAACCCAGATATAAGAGAAACCCGGATATAAGAGAGATTTTCTCTGGTCCCAAATTAGAGCCTGTGTTAATGTATATAAAATAGACCAAACCCGGATATAAGGGAAACCCGGATATAAGAGAGATTTTCTCTGGTCCCAAATTAGAGCCTGTGTTAATGTATATAAAATAGACCAAACCCGGATATAAGAGAAACCCGGATATAAGAGAGATTTTTCTGGTCCCAAATTAGAGCCTGTGTTAATGTATATAAAATAGACCAAACCCGGATATAAGAGAAACCCGGATATAAGAGAGATTTTCTCTGGTCCCAAATTAGAGCCTGTGTTAATGTATATAAAATAGACCAAACCCGGATATAAAACCCGGATATAGAGAGATTTTCTCTGGTCCCAAATTAGAGCCTGTGTTAATGTATATAAAATAGACCAAACCCGGATATAAGGGAAACCCGGATATGAGAGAGATTTTCTCTGGTCCCAAATTAGAGCCTGTGTTAATGTATATAAAATAGACCAAACCCGGATATAAGGGAAACCCGGATATGAGAGAGATTTTCTCTGGTCCCAAATTAGAGCCTGTGTTAATGTATATAAAATAGACCAAACCCGGATATAAGAGAAACCCGGATATAAGAGACTTCTTCTCCGGTCCTGACAACTCTCTTATATCCGGGTTACACTGTATTAGGATATTCCCTTTAAAAACTAAGAAATGGATATGGTTGAACTTACTCTGTCGGTGAGTGAAAGAGTTTGTGATCTTGTCTAAGCCTTGTGTGTGTCCTTGTAGTGTTAAGTTTCACATCTTACCTCATTTCTGGCATGATATTAAAGAGGGCAAGCCTCTTAGGATTTGTGTGATGCATGCTTCCAGTATTTTATGCATGCCCAAAAGTCGATAAGGACTTGCTGCTGCTAATAGGGTTTCCAACACATGCAAGTCTAGCCTGACAGGGTTTAGCATCAACTATGTTCGATCAGGAGTTTGTCTTAAAGTTAAAATTTATATGGTTCAATCAAAATTATCCCATTGAAGCTTTAAAACCAGGGTTGTATCTGTATTTTTTTTTTAAGAATTCCTGTTTCTTTTCTTCTGTTTGTGTTTCTTGCTATAACACAGAAAAAAAGCACGACATAGCACAATTCTTGTTACTGCAATACTGTTAAAATGCTTTAACTCAAAATAAAAAGTTCTAGTCCAGTTAAACTGTTCGTCAATGACTTTCAATAAACATAAATTGATCTACTGAAAAAAAAATTTTTCAAGGGAGATAACTCCAACTACATTAACCTTTTAATTGCTTCCCTTTTTTCTTAGAAATAGCAATAAGCTGGACAATCTTTATTGATAATTCGCACTTATGATAATATAAACTCTATAAACAAACAACGATCCCCCATTGAGCAGAAGCCAGCAAAGGTTAGAATTCGGCAAATTTTAGCCTAAATAAGTTTCTTTGCAGTACATCTAATAATATTTTGCTTTCTTTATTTCACAGGAGTTCTGGGATTGAGAAACGATTAAGGCGAAAAGATGCAGTAAAACGGAAATCAAGTTCTGTTGAAGCAAAAGTAAGAATGCGATTTTTGTTTCTTTCTTCCTTTTCAGCTAATTCAGGGTCCTCCATTAAAAGTATTGCATTGAATGAGAATTTATCCGAGTCAGCCGATTTGAGAAAGTTTGGTTTTTGAACCATGGATTCCAGAAATAACATTTCTCTCTGGACTACAGGAGATATGTTTCAAGATCCTTCAGTGGATGTTTGTAGATAATATCAAACTGTCAATCAGGTACAGAAATTTAGTTATTTGGGTTGTGTAGTGATAAACAATGAAAAATGGGTTACAGAAATCCAAAGGTGCATTGGAATAGCAAAATATACTTTACAGAAACTAAGCAATGTATTATGAAAAAAAATTGTTAGAAAAAAATAGTGTTGATTTGTTATATCTACCTTTTTATATGGCAGTGAATGCTGAGAATACTAGGGACTGAATTTGTGGACAAGGAGTTTTTAAGGAATATATGAAAGTAGAAACAGCTGAAATATTTATGAAACATAATGTGGAAAGAAGGCTTGTAGATTTAACACTTACATGATATATTGTGAGCAAGAGAGGCAGAAGGAAATAACAAGTAACCTGCATAATGAGTTTGTGTAAATAACTGTCAGAGTGGTGATAAAGAGGGAAGGTGTTGTAGAGTAGCTAGCACCCCTTCCACACTCTACCTGTTGGCCTGACTCATAGCCTTGAATAGTATACAATTATGAACTTCAACAGTTGATTAATAAGTTGATACTAAGCTGATTAATATTACTTTGTTTGGTTATACAGCATTTGACTCTCCTCTGTTCCTTGTAAGTTGTCTTGTTAATTGTCTTGTAACTTGTTGTTCTGTGTTTTTTGTTATGTATCCGTTATGTGAATAAATATAAGCACTCAATCTTCTCTGTGTATCATTCGCCCTGACGATACAACAGAGGGTAAAGAATCAAATGTTGTTTAAAACTACAGTGAATGAGGAGTTATGGAGAGCCATAATCACCCGTATCCTGAAGGGACATGTCATATAAAAGATGAATTATGAACACCCCCCCCCCAAAAAAAAGAAACCCCTTCTGGGTGTATGCTTGTAGACTCCAGTACAAACATAACATAAAGACTCAAATATAATAATAAAAAAAAAAAGATTTTTATATTAAATAACCAATGTTGATATGTTGTAGAATCCACCAACTTGACCCAGTGAAGAAAAATCCACTCTTAAGAGCAATCAAACAGTATTCACAAAGATCTTTAGACTTTCAGAAAGAAACCCAAAATGGATTTAATTCTTTCCTGGTAAGTTTCTAATGAAGAAAAATCTCTGAAAAGCAGAAAATATTTGAGAAACGAAAGTTGTTCTGTGAAATAAATTTTTCAAAACACAAATATTTTACCTGTTCAAAATAGAAACTGTTAGTGCAAGTATCATTCTGCTCAGAAGAGAAATGATAGATTCCATTTCTCAATGATGAATAAAAAGAATATTTTCATTTTAAACCTTCTGGGTTTAATCTATTTTGAGGGCTCTAGATGAAAGTGTTTGGTTGTATAAGATAAACTAACTGTTCTAAATTAATGAATGTTAGGCAGTCTCCTTACAGATGAAGACAAAGTAACGGAAATCTGGTTTTACAGAAGGATGCTGAGAATATCATGGACTGAAAATGTGAGCAATGGCGGAGTTTTAGAGAAACTAGAAACAAAAAGAACATTTATACTTAACATCAAAAGGAGACAGATTAGATTTCTAGGGTAGGTAATGAGGAAAGCAGGCTTGGAAAATTTGACACACACAGAACATATTGAAGGTAAGAGAAGCAGGGAAAAACAGTGCATAACTGTTGTGGCCTGTTTAGAGGCCAGAAAGAAAGACATAGTAGTCGAAAGTAGGTTTAATAAGTATATTGAAACAACAGATATATACAAAGTAAGAGTATTAGTAATAAGCAGATAGAGGTGTACATCCGAACAGTAGGTGAATACTGCGTCTACTGCCCTGCTCATCCGACTGCTCCTTAGTAGTATTTATGAGAGGAGGAAGAGTTCATTCTATTGTAGGAGGACTTACCACAACAATAACCTACCTAACAAGCTTGTGTCAATGGATAGCAGAACAGGGTTTAGGAGAGAAAGAAATAAGATTTATTAAGAGCTATAAAGGATGGGAAATTGTGGAGAGTCATGATCGCCAATGTCCTGAAGGTGCATGGTACATAGAAGTTATTTTATAGGTTGTTGATATATTGAACGAATGAATAATAGTGATCAGTTTAATTTTGTATGATTTATTAGAAGAGATTAATAAAAGATATAAATTAATGAAAGAGGTCAATTTAATAAATAAAATATTACTGATAAATTATGCACTTAACTAAGGACAAGTTTTTCTGAAAAACTTTCAGCTTTCGCTGTAAAGGGAAGTAACTCTTTATTTCATAATTTTCTTTTCACTGTTTTTCATTCAATGCAAATTGTACTGTGTTCTTTAGCTCTTTGAAAATTGACTGCACTACCGTTTTAATTCTCCAGCTATCATAGGGATTTATTTATAAAATCAAAGAGAACAAATTACTAAGTAATTTTTTTAAATCTCTCTCTTAATCAAAACCTGCTTCCAAGGGCAGAATTTACGAGTTCAAATCTTATCAAAAGCTTCTTCATTATTTCTGATCCCTGCTACCTGTTAAATGGGATGTAGGAAAATTATGAGAAAATGCAGCAAAGATAAGATGAAGAGGAAAAAAAGAACAGAGAAGGATAAAAGAAGAATAGGGATCAAAGCAACAGAAGATGTTGATTGACATTACATTTAAATTTTTGAAGATTATAGATAACAGTGAAATAAGTAAGAGGAAGGGAGTTCCACTGTTGGGAAGTGTGAGAGAAAAGCTGTTGGAGTAGAAGAAGTGGTTACATTTAATTGTTTTGGCAGTAAAAGGGTAGGATCAAGATGCCAACCTAATAGCACACTTAAATTCATGCAGTTAAGGCAACAGTGAAAATAGCTTTTCAGAACAGATGCCATGAAAATATTTACAGAAAAGGGAAGCCACATTACAAGAAAGTAACTGGAGTCGAGACCCCAAGTCAGAACTGATCACATTGTATATCCGTCTTTGGATTTTGTCGAGAACCTCAAGATGAACAGTGGGGGCACCAGACCATATATGGCAACAGTATTCAATGCCTGGACAAATGGTAGATTTGAAGGATGGACTCAGACAAGAAAAACCTTCTGAAGCTTTTAATCTTTAATTTCAAGCTAATATGATTAAATTTAATATTTCAAATAAGCAAAATACTTTGCTGTATTTCAAAACATTTAAATTGATTGGAAGGAATTTTTTTTTTTTAATTGCTAAAAATGGCTAATTTTAGCCATAATCTCTCAGTTCAACATAATTCTCTTTATTAAAAAATCTTTCAAAAATAAAATATACTTTTCTAAAACTTTATTTGAGGAAGATTAGCTGGTGTAAAGTTTAATTAATCTAATTTGAAACAAATGTTACTTTTAATTTAAAATATTGTAGAAAAGTATTTTTAACATGGAGGTGAGTGGTTTTATGAGGTGTTGACAACTTTCTATATAGACTTATGTTTGAGAACTTTTTTTATGGTGGACATATCTGTAAAAATTACTTGAATATAATGCGAGTACCTGAAGTGAAGTAAGCTTTTTCATTTATGATTACTTAATAAAATAAAAAATAATTTAATTCAATTGTGAACAAGTTCTGAAAGTTTCATTAAAATTGGAAAATTATTTGATATTTTTCAAGAATTTACAAATTGGAGTTTTTTTTTTTTTTTTTTTTTTTTTTTTTTTTTTTTTTTTTTCTTTTTTTTTCACTGCAAAAAAAATAAAAACTATTCCTAAATGTAACCCTCTACCTTGAGTGGCCTCCAGGCCTTGTACAGAGTGAACCTAATTGTAAAAAACAAAAAATTATTACAGTTATATTGAGCTTGGTCTTAACCATGTACCCTATCTTTGTGTCCTTGTACCAGACTATGGTCAGCCGAGTAAATAGCTATTCGAATGCCTTATTGTGAAGCAGTTGCTTGCAAACTAATTTTGTTGACCATTACTACTGTAGTGAGTTAGATCCTCAGAGTCTCTCAATTCATGTATCCTTATGCCTGACTAGGCTAAACTGAAAAATTATTACTGCACATCTTGCTGTAGAGGAGTAGTTTGCAAATTATTATTGCTGTAATAAGTTTGATCCTCACTGAGTTGCTCAGTTCATCTATCCTTGTGTCTGACTCAGCTAAACTGAGAAATTATTATTGCATATCTTGCTGTGGAGGAGTACTTAGCAAATTAGTCTTACTGACCATTACTGCTGTAGTGAGTTTTGAGCCTAACTGGGTGTTCTACATATTGCTTCGTATCATAGTAAAATACGCCTAGTTTGGGTTAAAAAATGCTAAATTTTTTGGGGGGTTTTTTTTATACAAAACTTGATTTCTCTTGTCAGCTTGTGGTGGAAGGAAAGCATTCTTGCTGTTAGACTTGTAACCTGTTTTTTCTCAGCTTTGCCCTGCCTTTCTCACTGTCTGACCTGCATAATCTGTGAACCATCAGAGTTATAAAAAAAACAACATCCTCCTTACTTATCACCAGATCAATACAATTGAAGAAACCAAATATGAAAGCAGCCTTTAATTTTACAAGGTTGTGAGAGATTATCTTTCACCTCAATAGAAATCAGTTGTCAGTCTAAAAATATAAATACTTATATTAAATGAAAAAAATAGCATATTCAAAGTATATTTACAATTTACAGTTGAGCTGGCTATATGTAATCATAAATTCTATGCTAAGTTTCTTTGTTCGCACTTCTTGTTTGTGGAACTCCCTTCTGCTTTCCAGCCAACTTTAATGTGCAATAATTTAAATGCAATGTCAATCGCTATCTACTCTCCTTCTGATTACTCTTTCCTCTTCCCATTAATTATTAATGTTTCTATTCCTAATTCTTCCACACCCTGTAACTACTTGAGTCTTAGTGGCTTTA